TCTTTGGGTAACCCGAAGACGAAATCCATTGAGATGGATTCCCAGCACTCAGCCGGAACCGGTAGAGGCTGTAAAGGTGCACGCAGTGAAGGACTTGACTTCACTCGTTGGCAGACTTCGCATGCGCGAACATACTTTCGCACAAACTGATACTGTCGGGGCCAGTAAAAGTCTCGACTTACCGTGAGATATGTTTTCTCTCGGCCACGATGTCCTCTTATAGGAGCATCGTGATACTCGAACATGATCCGCAAACGCAGATCAGTATCATCTGGAATGACAACACGTGGTGTGTCACCAGAAAAGGCTGCATAATACAGTAAACCATTGCGAGTAGTGTATCGATCTGATGCAGATCGATACGCAGGCGACAATCATTTCAACGATTCTCGGGATGGTTGGGAGAGATGTGACAACAACTTCACAATCTCACCATCTTGGGCGTATGCCCGCCTCACATCATCATACAACATTGTAGATGGGACTGAGGACGTCATAACCGCAACAGTGACTGTCTCGCTGTTGGGTTTCGCGACTGTTTCAAAGTCGGGACGACGTGAGAGTGCATCAGCGACGACATTAAGTCGTCCTGGTTTGTACTCGACCGTAAAGTTTTATTCCGCAAAGAATGACAACCACCGCGCCATTCGTTGTGAAAGGTGCGGGCTGTTCACTGCCGTGCATAACGACGCATGGTCAGTGTAAACAACGAAGGGTCTATCTCCTAATAGATAGACTCTGAACTTCGCTAGTGCATACTTCATAGCAAGTAGCTCCTTGTCATGTACTGGATAGTTCCGCTCAGCTGGTTGCAGCTGACGCGACTGATAGCAGACGACGCGTTCAACGCCTTCAAGATCGTACTGCATTAATGCACAGCCAATTGCGAAATCGCTGGCATCACAGACCACATGAAATGGCCTGTCCTGATCGGCTATTGCTAGGACTGGGGATTGTATCAAGCTCTGCTTGATACCCTCAAAGGAGCGCTGACATTCAGCGTTCCATAACCACCTCTCGTTCTTTTTCAACAAACGAGAGAGGTGCACAGTCATCTCGGCGTAATTGCGTGAATACTTATGCAAATACGCCGCTAGCCCAAGGAATTTTCGAAGACCTTTGACATCGACCGGCACAGGCCAGTCGGTGATCGCCTTGATCTTTTCGGGATCAGGACGTACACCGTTCTTACCAACGATGCACCCAAGAAGTGGTATTTCGCTTGCTGCAAATATACACTTCTTGAGGTTAGCATACAATTGATGCTTTCGCATGATTGTAAGAACTTGTCGGACGTGGTACCTGTGAACCTCAACGTCCGACTTTCCATCCATAGCTCGACTATGGATGAATACGTCATCGAAATAACTCGGCGCAAATCTCGTACTGGTCTCAACAGATGTGATACACATCTGTTGAACGTGGCAGGGGCATTACTGAGCCCTTGTGGCATTACTAGCCATTCCCAGAGCATGCCGCTAGGCGTGCTAACTGCGGTATAGGGTATATCCCGTTCCCGCATTAGGATTTGATAGAAGCCATCCATCAAATCCATGGACGAAAAGATGGTACTCTTTGACATACCATCAATGATTACGTCCTTCCTCGGTATCGGCGTCTGAGCCGGTACCGTTGCAGCGTTCAATTTGTTGAACGCGTGCACTATCCGCCACCCTCCTGTTGCTTTTCGCACACAGAAGGTCGGAGAGCTATGTGGGGAAGTTGATTCTCTCACATGGCCCGCAGCTAAACGATCGGCAAAGAACTTGTCGATCGCAAGTACTTGTTCACGAGGCAGTGGCCACTGCTTCATGACACAGTACTTCGAGCCTGGTTTAAGCTCGACCTCGTGTCGAATACCTTTATCCTTCGGTAATTCACACGGAACAGTTTCAGGGAATACAACCTTGAATTCAACCAAATCTTCATAGAGAGGATTTTCCTTGAGCGATTCCCATGATTGGGACTCATATCGCTCAATTCGTGTCTTTTCATCTAGGACACTCTCGTCCATAGATGAACTACTGAGAACTCTCTCGTTCTTATTAAACATTGTTGCTGACCTTATGTCGGTTACACACTCGTCGTCAGCGACGAGTATGCAGATCTGCTTGACTTTGCCACTACGCAGATCACGCAAGAACCTTTTATGTTCGAGCGTTGGCAACTGAGTGATCTCCGAAGTCAACTTCGGAGGCGCAATCAGATCAAGTGTGTAAGCGCCTACACATGATCCGTCATTGACTAGGACATTCAATGTCTCTGTCATTTCCTGGGGACTTATTCCCTCAGGCTTCGAAGGACTTATTCCTTCGTCTTCCCGGGGACTTATTCCCGCGGGTTTCGGGGAACTTATTTCCGCCGTATTTGTAATCTTGGGACTTATTCCCTTTACTTCCTCTAGCTGGGGTTGCGCAACCACAGCGAGATCCTCTACGAAAGACTCTCCAGTCGATCTAGGATTATCGTTTCGCTTAACCTGAGCGATCGATTGTTTTTCTTCTAGATGTTCCCCTCTAGGGATACATCTTTGTCCCAGTCCACCCGACTTATTCGAGTGGTGGACCTTCGGCGCAGCCTGTGTTTCCTCACAGCCGCCGGAACTTTGCTCCGAAGTGTAACCGTTTGGTACACTAAGGTTTTGTGCAGTCGTACTAACGACCGTACCACAAGTGAGGCCATCGCACTCACTCGTAGTACATCCACACGCTTGTGGACGCTCCAAAACGTTCATCAGATGGCCATCTGATGAACAAGCGGCAGGCATCGTTACTGTTTGATGTTGCCAGTTTACCCGTGGTTCGTACCTTCTGAGCCACGGTATTCCAAGGATGACATCAAATTTGTCATCCAATTCCAATACGATAAAGTCATCGTCATATTGGGTATCTTCTAGCGTATAGTGAATCTTCACTATACGCTTCATGACGGTTACGGATGCGCCTGTCGCAAGACGTACCGTCATCCTCGTAGGAGGTGTGTCACATTCACTGAATTTAAAGTGACCATCTTCTAGCGATTGGCGTCGCACAAAATTGTTGGACGCCCCACAATCGACTAGAGCTCGAAGGGACAACTTATTCGTCACTTCGAGTTTCAAGGTAATGAGTGAGATCTCATTACCTAGAGCAGCAACGCACAACGTCTGTGTGTTGGGAGCAACCTTCATCAAGAGGCCTACAAATTCTCTTGACGTTGCTGGATCAGTAGGGTGCTCCGCACCTACTGATCCTGTCCGTTTTTTGACGGTCCATCCCGTTGTTGCGTCTTTGCACCAACAGCGGACCCTCGTCCCTGCCCCTTTCTCATGGGTGGACGGTCACTACGCCCAGTGTCGCGAGACACTGGACGAGGGGCACTACACTCGTAAGCGTAGTGTCCTGTCTTTTGACATCTGTTGCATCTCTGCAACTTCTTGTAGTCTGTAGAGCGAGCCTTCTCGCTCTCTACAGAACAGAGTTTCATCGGCTCTGGACCTCCGTTTTCATATCGTCTCGGTTGACGATATGATGTCGAGCTGGCGCGAGCCTGTCTCAGACTGAAGTCTTCCTGCTCCGCAATGGAAATGGCTTGTTCTAGTGAATCTAGTTCAAGCCGGAACAGGTGAGTCTTGACGGGACCATCCGCAAGACCCTGCATGAACACCGAAACCAACGTGTGTTCATCCACTGGATTGGAACTTATACAACTCGTAAGATGTCGTATATGTTGAGCGTAAGCGTGCACATCACGCTTACTCTGCTTGAGCTTCAAGAGTTCGGTTCGAGCCCTGAACTCAGCTCTAGGCGGTTCAAACGTTTGTCTGAGCCGCGACTTGAAGACTTCCAACGACCCAAACGCATATGGGTCGTGCAGCTTGAGACCCAGTGCCCAAGTCTTGGCACGTCCTGCCAGATTTGATTGGGCAAATGCAACTTGCATATCCCCGTCGTCGATGCGACGCGCCCTTATGGCGTCATCCAATTCGACGAAACATCTCAAGAGGGAGTCTTCTTCGACCCCCCTATACTTTGAGATGTCAATCTTCAAAGTCTCGGGCCGACGCGAGTGCATCGACCCGCCAGCAGCAGCCTGCTGCTGTCTCAATAGTTCAATCTGTTGAGCACCCTGTTCTCTCAACAACTCTGCTTGTTGAGAACCTTGTTGGTGAAGCAAGGCTACCATCTCGCGTTCAGCGTCAAGTTCATTTTGAATGAACTTGGCGATAGTAGCATGTTGGGCATCTCTATTGAGAGCCTCTAGCATGAAGATAACAGCATGGATGCCCATGGTTGAACCCATCCGTTCAACCGCATCCCATTCGACATCGCTCAAATGGGAGTAGCCGTCACGCGTAGCGTGAAAGCTTTGGTCATCTTCATCATCCAACATATTCATGTTAGATGTGAACGTGGTCCTTAGACGGACTACTAAGTGCTAACAGGTGTAACGGGGCACCCTGAAGCTTGTACTGGTGACAGTACAAGCTACTTATTCTGATGACAAAATAAGGCGGTGCCTCGTAACTTCACGTACACTGGTACGTGCAGAGGAAGACGGTAAGAAGAAGCGAGTACTTGGTTAAAGTAAAAAGTAGAACAGTATTTTTCCTAGTTAATGTCTGTTAATAAATCCCTATTTATCTTCATCTAACTATGTCTGAATACAAATGTGAAAATCAACCATCTGCTCACCACTCATTGCGTGCGTCTGTCGTGGCGCGTCTTCTTTGGTTGATGTAATGGCCTATATCAACCAATTAGGAACTACTCGTAAGTGCTGCAGAATATTTATCCTTATGACAATATTCTGAGAATATAACTCTTATAGTTGTGTTCTATTAACAATTTCTTATAAATTGTTATGTAACGATTCACCCCGTTACATCACCCCCCCTTAACCATCAGTCACTTTAGTAACTGATTGACTAAATGGGTACTCGTCCCAAATCAGTTGGGACAGGTTTGCACTTGCTGGTCCGAGTCCACTTTCCAACATTTCATCGCATGGTTAACAAGCCCATGCGATGCGCGAGCAAGGCCGCCGAGAGCGCGTCCGCACGTCTTTGTGAGGACGCTGAAGCAGAAACCACAGCAACTGATGTCTCATCGGTTGCTGAAGCGACTCAGCCTGTGTCACCTGGTGATGCAGGCGCTCGTCATGAAGACACTCGTGTCTTCACAGAGTATGAGCTCGGTGTATCATACTCTCCTGATACGGAAGATGGATCTGTACCAACGGCGATCGAATCCAAGCCGCCTGCCAAGCGTGGCATGGATGATGCTATGAGTCGTAGCATCTTTGGTTCATCTGACGAATCAGATGACCATCGCCGAAGCGAAGGCACTCGAGGTCGCGAGACTCGGGCGCTAACAGTGGTGTCGGTTCTCCAATGGACACCACTTCGCAACAAGGTACCGGTCCTTCTGTTGGCACGTCGCAGGAAGAGCGGGACCGCAATATGTTGCGTCTCGCTCCAGAAAAGAAGGCATGGATGCCTCCTAAATCTGTCATGGATCACTTGTCGGCGACGACGAGTGATCGTTATCGAACACGATTGTTCGATTCGTCAAGGATCCATCACCTTGACCCCAGTGCGAAAAACTGTCGCGCTGAACATGAATTCTTCATCGATGCTTTCTTTAAACATCGATGGTACAGTGGGAATCACAAACGTGATGGTCCCTCACTGCTTCAAGCGTGGAACGCTTACATCCACAACCTTGAGGATGTAGGTCGTGACGTTTGGAACGACAAACTCATCAAAGCTCGTGATAAATTTAAGAAGAGAACCCCGACAGGTGCACGCTACAAGCTGCATCGTCTGTCAAGGGAGAAAGGATTACCCTGCCTCTCCTGGGGAGACTCGTGCCCATGTTGTGTGAACAACTCTGCACGAGCACCTAAGGAGGATTACCTCCCTAACAGCCCGTGGTGGCGCGTACGTATCTCTAGTGAGATGTACGAAGGGATTGACAACCTGAAATCCCTTTATGACCGTGCCGGGAAGACTTTATCCGGCGGTCCTTCTGCAGCACAGGATGTGCCGCGTCGTACTGCTCAACCAGACCCAGTACGTCGATCATCAGTTGGGAGCGGGGATCCCAAGAATCCCAGGATGGGGGATAGCCGCGCCACCGGACGAGATAAATCGTCCGACGTCCGTTTACGTCGCGGTGGTACAACAGCTGCTCAACTAGATAGCGCTGGCCACCGCGAGAGTCCTATAATGGAGGTGGAGGTGGAGGAAAGACGCTCTCCATACGATCATGTGGGGAAGCGTGTGTTCCCAAGAGCTTCTTTGATCGCGTAACGCAAGGGTTACGCGACGATCTCGAACATGAGCGGAATAGGCGTCTCCAAATGGCGGACACTGTCTCGAAGCATCGAGCTGAGTTTGCCTTTGCTCAGCTTGAGAACGAGAGATCTCTGACATCTCTGCTTGACGAGCTATAGGTAGCTCGTGAGATTGTTGATCGGTCTCGGGATGAGATAACTGCTCTCCATACCCTTGTCGATGCCCATCATCGGGAGCACAAGGCTCTCTGCGAGATGCTTGAGCGCGAGGGCGTTCTTCATCGGAAGAAGCAGAGTACTGATGGTACGGCTTAAGCCGACCAACGTAAAACGTGGGATGCGTTCGCATCTTACGTGGTAACTCGATCGTGTATGCATTGCCTAGGCGGTGCAATACACGAAATGGGCCAATGTACTTGGGTAGTAGTTTACTGCTACCCAAGTTAGTCACTACATGCTTTGGTAGATTAACCGTAGACAGTAGGACTAAGTCACCTTTATTAAATAAAAGAGTGCTGCCCTTCCATTCTTGTCAGCGTTTTGCTTTTGCTTATCCACCGCTTCGGCGATGGAGTCTTGCACGAAACGGACTACCGTTTCACGAGCCAGCATGAGCTCATCTGATGACTCGTTAGCTTCAGTGCGCTGTGAGTGCACTGCTGCAACATCAACCTTTTCTTCAGTGAGGGCTTCCTCGCTCTCACTGGCATCTTCTTCTTCGATATCGATGTTATCGATATCGGCATCAAACGCAATGACCTCTGCGTCAGAGCGTGATGATCGTGAACCAAATCGGTTTTTGCTCGCGCGAGTCCCCCCCCCCCTTAAACCAAAGTTACACTCTAGTAAGGTGGGTACACGCGGATGGCGCAAGCCATTCACGTAAAACGGTGTATGGGTCGTGGACGCATGCACCGAATTTTTAATAGCAAACTCTACCATTGGCAAAAACTCACTCCAACTCTTAAAGGAGTGTACGTATCCTTGAAGTATCTCTTCAAGGACACGATTGGCACGTTCCGTCGGACCATCTGACTCTGGGTGATCAGATGTAGACATCTTCAAGCGCGTTCCGAGTGATTTGAACACGGAACGCCAGAAATAAGCAGTGAATCGTGGATCTCTGTCTGATACGAGTCCACGGGGCAACCCGTGAAGTCGGAAGATGGTGTCAATAAAGACACAAGCACAGCCACTTGCCGTGATTGACTCTGGTACAGCCACTAGGTGTACCATTTTGCTGAATCTGTCAACAAATACGAGAATACCCGTATTCCCGCGTGCGTCTTTGGGTAACCCGAAGACAAAATCCATTGAGATGGATTCCCAGCACTCAGCCGGAACCGATAGAGGCTGTAAAGGTGCACGCAGTGAAGGACTTGACTTCACTCGTTGGCAGACTTCGCATGCGCGAACATACTTTCGCACAAACTGATACTGGCGGGGCCAGTAAAAGTCTCGACTTACCGTGAGATATGTTTTCTCTCGGCCACGATGTCCTCTTATAGGAGCATCTTGATACTCGAACATGATCCGCAAACGCAGATCAGTATCATCTGGAATGACAACACGTGGTGTGTCACCAGAAAAGGCTGCATAATACAGTAAACCATTGCGAGTAGTGTATCGATCTGATGCAGATCGATACGCAGACGACAATTATTTCAACGATTCTCGAGATGGCTGTGAGAGATGTGACAACAACTTCACAATCTCACCATCTTGGGCGTATGCCCGCCTCACATCATCATACAACATTGTAGATGTGACTGAGGACGTCATAACCGCAACAGTGACTGTCTCACTGTTGGGTTTCACGACTGGTTCAAAGTCGGGACGACGTGAGAGTGCATCAGCGACGACATTAAGTCGTCCTGGTTTGTACTCGACCGTAAAGTTTTATTCCGCAAAGAATGACAACCACCGCGCCATTCGTTGTGAAAGGTGTGGGCTGTTCACTGCCGTGCATAACGACGCATGGTCAGAGTAAACAACGAAGGGTCTTTCTCCTAATAGATAAACTCTGAACTTCGCGAGTGCATACTTCATGGCAAGGAGTTCCTTGTCATGCACTGGATAGTTCCAATCAGCTGGTTGCAGCTGACGCGATTGATAGCAGACGACGCTTTCAACGCCTTCAAGATCGTACTGCATTAATGCACAGCCGATTGCGAAATCGCTGGCATCACAGACCACATGAAATGGCCTGTCCTGATCGGCTATTGCTAGGACTGGGGATTGTATCAAGCTCTGCTTGATACCCTCAAAGGAGCGCTGACATTCAGCGTTCCATAACCACCTCTCGTTCTTTTTCAACAAACGAGAGAGGTGCACAGTCATCTCGGCGTAATTGCGTGAGTACTTATGCAAATACGCCGCTAGCCCAAGGAATTTTCGAAGACCTTTGACATCAACCGGCACAGGCCAGTCGATAATCGCCTTGATCTTTTCGGGATCAGGACGTACACCGTTCTTACCAATGATGCACCCAAGAAGTGGTATTTCGCTTGCTGCAAATATACACTTCTTGAGGTTTGCATACAATTGATGCTTTCGCATGATTGTAAGAACTTGTCGGACGTGGTACCTGTGAACCTCAACGTCCGACTTTCCATCCATAGCTCGACTATGGATGAATACGTCATCGAAATAAATCGGCGCGAATTCGCGTACTGGTCTCAACAGATGTGCATCACATCTGTTGAACGTGGCAGGGGCATTACTAAGCCCTTGTGGCATTACTAGCCATTCCCAGAGCATGCCGCTAGGCGTGCTAACTGCGGTATAGGGTACATCCCGTTCCCGCATAAGGATTTGATAGAAGCCATCCATCAAATCCATGGACGAAAAGATGGTACTCTTTGACATACCATCAATGATGACATCCTTCCTTGGTATCGGCGTCTGAGCCGGTACCGTTGCAGCGTTCGATTTGTTGAACGCGTGCACTATCCGCCACCCTCCTGTTGCTTTTCGCACACAGAAGGTCGGAGAGCTATGTGGGGAAGTTGATTCTCTCACATGGCCCGCAGCTAAACGATCGGCAAAGAACTTGTCGATCGCAAGTACTTGTTCACGAGGCAGTGGCCACTGCTTCATGACACAGTACTTCGAGCCTGGTTTAAGCTCGACCTCGTGTCGAATACCTTTATCCTTCGGTAATTCACACGGAACAGTTTCAGGGAATACAACCTTGAATTCAACCAAATCTTCATAGAGAGGATTTGTCTTGAGCGATTCCCATGATTGAGAGTCACATCGCTCAACTCGTGTCTTTTCATCCAGGACACTCTCGTCCATAGATGAACTACTGAGAACTCTCTCGTTCTTAGTAAACATTGTTGCTGACCTTATGTCATTTACACATTTGTCGTCAGCGACGAGTATGCAGATCTGCTTGACTTTGCCACTACGCAGATCACGCAAGAACCTTTTATGTTCGAGCGTTGGCAACTGAGTGATATCCGAAGTCAACTTCGGAGGCGCAATCAGATCAAGTGTATAAGCGCCTACACTTGATCCGTCATTGACTAGGACATTCAATGTCTCTGTCATTTCCTGGGGACTTATTCCCTCAGGCCTCGAAGGACTTTTTCCTTCGGCTTCCCGGGGACTTATTCCCTCGGGTTTCGGGGAACTTATTTCCGCCGTATTTGTAATATCGGGACTTATTCCCTTTACTTCCTCTAGCTGGGGTTGCGCAACCACAGCGAGATCCTCTACGAAAGACTCTCCAGTCGATCTAGGATTATCGTTTTGCTTAACCTGAGCGATCGATCGTTTCTCTTCTAGATGTTCCCCGCTAGGGATACATCTTTGTCCCGGTCCACTCGACTTATTCGAGTGGTGGACCTTCGGCGCAGCCTGTGTTTCCTCACAGCCGCCGGAACTTTGCTCCGAAGTGTAACTGTTTGTTACACTAAGGTTTTGTGCAGTCGTACTAACGACCGTACCACAATTGAGGCCATCGCACCCACTCGTAGTACATCCACACGCTTGTGGACACTCCAAAACGTTTTTCAGATGGCCATCTGATGAACAAGCGGCAGGCATCGTTACTGTTTGATGTTGCCAGTTTACCCGTGGTTCGTACCTTCTGAGCCACGGTATTCCAAAGATGACATCAAATTTGTCATCCAAATCCAATACGATACAGTCATCATCATATTGGGTATCTTCTAGCGTATGGTGGATCTTCACTATACGCTTCATGACGGTTACGGATGCGCCTGTCGCAAGACGTACCGTCATCCTCGTAGGAGGTGTGTCACATTCACTGAATTCAAAGTGACCATCTTCTAGCGATTGGCGTTGCACAAAATTGTTGGACGCCCCACAATCGACTAGAGCTCGAAGGGACAACTTATTCGTCACTTCGAGTTTCAAGGTAATGAGTGAGATCTCATTACCTAGAGCAGCAACGCACAACGTTTGTGTGTTGGGAGAAACCTTCATCAAGAGGCCTACAAATTCTCTTGACGTTGCTAGACCAGTAGGGTGCTCCGCACCTACTGATCCTGTCCGTTTTTTGACGGTCCATCCCGTTGTTGCGTCTTTGCACCAACTGCGGACCCGCGTCCCTGCCCCTTTCTCATGGGTGGACGGTCACTACGCCCAGTGTCGCGAGACACTGGACGAGGGGCACTACACTCGTAAGCGTAGTGTCCTGTCTTTTGACATCTGTTGCATCTCTGCAACTTCTTGTAGCCTGTAGAGCGAGTCTTCTCGCTCTCTACATAACAGAGTTCCATCGGCTCTGGACCTCCGTTGTCATATCGTCTCGGTTGACGATATGATGTCGAGCTGGCGCGAGCCTGTCTCAGACTGAAGTCTTCCTGCTCCGCAATGGAAATGGCTTGTTCTAGTGAATCTAGTTCAAGCCGGAACAGGTGAGTCTTGACGGGACCGTCCGCAAGACCCTGCATGAACACCGAAACCAACGTGTGTTCATCCACCGGATTGGAACTTATACAACTCGTGAGATGTCGTATATGTTGAGCGTAAGCGTGCACATCACGCTTACTCTGCTTGAGCTTCAAGAGTTCGGTTCGAGCTCTGAACTCAGCTCTAGGCGGTTCAAACGTTTGTCTGAGCCGCGACTTGAAGACTTCCAACGACCCAAACGCATATGGGTCGTGCAACTTGAGCCCCAGTGCCCAAGTCTTGGCACGTCCTGCCAGATTTGACTGGGCAAATGCAACTTGAATATCCCCGTCGTCGATGCGACGCGCCCTTATGGCGTCATCCAATTCGACGAACCATCTCAAGAGGGAGTCTTCTTCGACCCCCCTATACTTTGAGATGTCAATCTTCAAAGTCTCGGGCCGACGCGAGTGCATCGACCCGCCAGCAGCAGCCTGCTGCTGTCTCAACAGTTCAATCTGTTGAGCACCCTGTTCTCTCAACAACTCTGCTTGTTGAGAACCTTGTTGGTGAAGCAAGACTGCTTTCTCGCGTACAGCGTCAAGTTCATTTTGAATGAACTTGGCGATAGTAGCATGTTGGGCATCTCTATTGAGAGCCTCTAGCATGAAGATAACAGCATGGATGCCCATGGTTGAACCCATCCGTTCAACCGCATCCCATTCGACATCGCTCAAATGGGAGTAGCCGTCACGCGTAGCGTGAAAGCTTTGGTCATCTTCATCATCCAACATATTCATGTTAGATGTGAACGTGGTCCTTAGACGGACTACGAAGTGCTACCAGGTGTAACGGGGCACCCTGAACCTTGTACTGGTGACAGTACAAGCTACTTATTCTGATGACAAAATAAGGCGGTGCCTCGTAACTTCACGTACACTGGTACGTGCAGAGGAAGACGGTAAGAAGAAGCGAGTACTTGGTTAGAGTAAAAAGTAGAACTGTATTTAGTATAGTTAATGTCTGCAATAAATCACTGTTTACCCTCATCTAACTATGTCTGAATACAAATGTGTATATCAACCATCTGCTCACCACTCATTGCGTGCGTCTGTCGTGGCGCGTCTTCGTTGGTTGATGTAATGGCCTACATCAACCAATTAGGAACTACTCGATAGTGCTACAGAATATTTGTCCTTATGACAAAATTCTGAGAATACAACTCTTACAATTGTATTCTATTAACAATTTCTTATAAATTGTTATGTAACGATTCAACCCATTACAACTCTCCCTTACCTTCTCCGGGTCATTTATAGAATTTCTTAGGCCTCGCTGCTTTGGAAATCTTGTTACTGTCCTTTACGATCGCGTCCGGGCTTTCTGTAACGGAGCACCCTTCGTTTGGGTGCCACGAAACTTCACGTACACTAGTACGTGCAGAGGAAGCTATAAGACTTAACGACTAAGCTGAGTAAAAGAATAAAAAGAGAACTGTGTTTAATATAGTTAACCTATCAGCATAACTTTGATCTTTATATAACTACATAAAACTACGTTGTCGTATGATGACAACCTGCTCACCAATCGTTGCGCGCGTCTAGCAGCGATTGTAAGCAATCTAAGATCGATGTGTTGTTTATCAACCAATCTTTGAGCAGCGCATGTCCATTATAGTAACGGGGTGAATCTCTACATAACAATTTATAAGAAATTGCTAATAGAATACAATTGTAAGAGTTGTATTCTCAGAATTTTGTCATAAGGACAAATATTCTGTAGCACTATCGAGTAGTTCCTAATTGGTTGATGTAGGCCATTACATCAACCAACGAAGACGCGCCACGACAGACGCACGCAATGAGTGGTGAGCAGATGGTTGATATCCACATTTGTATTTAGACATAGTTAGACGAAGATAAACAGTGATTTATTGCAGACATTAACTATACTAAATACAGTTCTACTTTTTACTCTAACGAAGTACTCGCTTCTTCTTACCGTCTTGCTCTGCACGTACGAGTGTACGTGAAGTTACGAGGCACCGCCTTATTCTGTCATCAGAACAAGTAGCTTGTACTGTCACCAGTACAAGCTTCAGGGTGCCCCGTTACACCTGGTAGCACTTCGTAGTCCGTCTAAGGACCACGTTCACATCTAACATGAATATGTTGGATGATGAAGATGACCAAAGCTTTCACGCTACGTGTGACGGCTACTCCCATTTGAGCGATGTCGAATGGGATGCGGTTGAACGGATGGGTTCAACCATGGGCATCCATGCTGTTATCTTCATGCTAGAGGCTCTCAATAGAGATGCCCAACATGCTGCTATCGCCAAGTTCATTCAAAATGAACTTGACGCTGTACGCAAGAAAGTGGTCTTGCTTCACCAACAAGGTTCTCAACAAGCAGAGTTGTTGAGAGAACAGGGTGCTCAACAGATTGAACTGTTGAGACAGCAGCAGGCTGCTGCTGGCGGGTCGATGCACTCGCGTCGGCCCGAGACTTTGAAGATTGACATCTCCAAGTATAGGGGGGTCGAAGAAGACTCCCTCTTGAGATGTTTCGTCGAATTGGATGACGCCATAAGGGCGCGTCGCATCGACGACGGGGATATGCAAGTTGCATTTGCCCAATCAAATCTGGCAGGACGTGCCAAGACTTGGGCACTGGGTCTCAAGTTGCACGACTCATATGCGTTTGGGTCGTTGGAAGTCTTCAAGTCGCGGCTCAGACAAACGTTTGAACCGCCTAGAGCTGAGTTCAGGGCTCGAACCGAACTCTTGAAGCTCAAGCAGAGTAAGCGTGATGTGCACGCTTACGCTCAACATATACGACATCTCACGAGTTGTATAAGTTCCAATCCGGTGGATGAACACACGTTGGTTTCGGTGTTCATGCAGGGTCTTGCGGACGGTCCCGTCAAGACTCACCTGTTCCGGCTTGAACTAGATTCACTAGAACAAGCCATTTCCATTGCGGAGCAGGAAGACTTCAGTCTGAGACAGGCTCGCGCCAGCTCGACATCATGTCGTCAACCGAGACGATATGACAACGGAGGTCCAGAGCCGATGGAACTCTGTTATGTAGAGAGCGAGAAGGTTCGCTCTACAGGCTACAAGAAGTTGCAGAGATGCAACAGATGTCAAAAGACAGGACACTACGCTTACGAGTGTAGTGCCCCTCGTCCAGTGTCTCGCGACACTGGGTGTGGTGACCGTCCACCCATGAGAAAGGGGCAGGGACGCGGGTCCGCTGTTGGTGCAAAGACGCAACAACGGGATGGACCGTCAAAAAACGGACAGGATCAGTAGGTGCGGAGCACTCTACTGGTCCAGCAACGTCAAGAGAATTTGTAGGCCTCTTGATGAAGGTTGCTCCCAACACACAAACGTTGTGCGTTGCTGCTCTAGGTAATGAGATCTCACTCATTACCTTGAAACTCAAAGTGACGAATAAGTTGTACATTCGAGCTCTAGTCGATTGTGGGGCGTCCAACAATTTTGTGCAACGCCAATCGCTAGAAGATGGTCACTTTAAATTCAGTGAATGTGACACACCTCCTACGAGGATGACGGTACGTCTTGCGACAGGCGCATCCGTAACCGTCCTGAAGCGTATAGTGAAGATCCACTACACGCTAGAAGATACCCAATATGACGATGACTTTATCGTATTGGATTTGGATGACAAATTTGATGTCATCCTTGGAATACCGTGGCTCAGAAGGTACGAACCACGGGTAAACTGGCAACATCGAACAGTAACGATGCCTGCCGCTTGTTCATCAGATGGCCATCTGAAAAACGTTTTGGAGTGTCCACAAGCGTGTGGATGTACTACGAGTGAGTGCGATGGCCTCACTTGTGGTACGGTCGTTAGTACGACTGCACAAAACCTTAGTGTACCAAACGGTTACACTTCGGAGCAAAGTTCCGGCGGCTGTGAGGAAACACAGGCTGCGCCGAAGGTCCACCACTCGAATAAGTCGGGTGGACTGGGACAAAGATGTATCCCTAGCGGGTAACATCTAGAAGAGAAACAATCGATCGCTCAGGTTAAGCGAAACGATAATCCTAGATCGACTGGAGAGTCTTTCGTAGAGGATCTCGCTGTGGTTGCGCAACCCCAGCTAGAGGAAGTTAAGGGAATTAGTCCCAAGATTACAAATACGGCGGAAATAAGTTCCCCGAAACCCGCGGGAATAAGTACACGGGAAGCCGAAGGAATAAGTCCTTCGAGGCCTGAGGGAATAAGTCCCCAGGAAATGACAGAGACATTAAATGTCCTAGTCAATGACGGATCAAGTGTAGGCGCTTATACACTTGATCTGATTGCGCCTCCGAAGTTGACTTCGGAGATCACTCAGTTGCCAACGCTCGAACATAAAAGGTTTTTGCGTGATCTGCGTAGTGGCAAAGTCAAGCAGATCTGCGTACTCGTCGCTGACGACGAGTGTGTAAATGACATAAGGTCAGCAACAATGTTTAATAAGAACGAGAGAGTTCTCAGTAGTTCATCTATGGACGAGAGTGTCCTGGATGAAAAGACACGAATTGAGCGATATGACTCTCAATCATGGGAATCGCTCAAGACAAATCCTCTCTATGAAGATTTGGTTGAATTCATGGATGTATTCCCTGAAACTGTTCCGTGCGAATTACCGAAGGATAAAGGTATTCGACACGAGGTCGAGCTTAAACCAGGCTCGAAGTACTGTGTCATGAAGCAGTGGCCACTGCCCCGTGAACAAGTACTTGCGATCGACAAGTTCTTTGCCGATCGTTTAACTGCGGGCCATGTGAGAGAATCAACTTCCCCACATAGCTCTCCGACCTTCTGTGTGCGAAAAGCAACAGGAGGGTGGCGGATAGTGCACGCGTTCAACAAATCGAACGCTGCAACGGTACCGGCTCAGACGCCGATACCAAGGAAGGATGTCATCATTGATGGTATGTCAAAGAGTACCATCTTTTCGTCCATGGATTTGATGGATGGCTTCTATCAAATCCTTATGCGGGAACGGGATATACCCTATACCGCAGTTAGCACGCCTAGCGGCATGCTCTGGGAATGGCTAGTAATGCCACAAGGGCTTAGTAATGCCCCTGCCACGTTCAACAGATGTGATGCACATCTGTTGAGACCAGTACGCGAATTCGCGCCGATTTATTTCGATGACGTATTCATCCATAGTCGAGCTATGGATGGAAAGTCGGACGTTGAGATTCACAGGTACCACGTCCGACAAGTTCTTACAATCATGCAAAAGCATCAATTGTATGCAAACCTCAAGAAGTGTATATTTGCAGCAAGCGAAATACCACTTCTTGGGTGCATCATTGGTAAGAACGGTGTACGTCCTGATCCCGAAAAGATCAAGGCGATTATCGACTGGTCTGTGCCGGTTGATGTCAAAGGTCTTCGAAAATTCCTTGGGCTAGCGGCGTATTTGCATAAGTATTCACGCAATTACGCCGAGATGACTGTGCACCTCTCTCGTTTGTTGAAGAAGAACGAGAGAGGTGGTTATGGAACGCTGAGTGTGAGCGCTCCTTTGATGGTATCAAGCAGAGCTTGATACAATCCCCAGTCCTAGCAATAGCCGATCAGGACAGGCCATTTCATGTGGTCTGTGATGCCAGCGATTTCGCAATCGGCTGTGCATTAATGCAGTACGATCTTGAAGGCGTTGAAAGCGTCGTCTGCTATCAATCGCGTCAGCTGCAACCAGCTGATTGGAACTATCCAGTGCATGACAAGGAACTCCTTGCCATGAAGTATGCACTCGCGAAGT